TCCACAAATCTATTTGAAGAAAAGCGAGGAAGAGGACAAGAAGATGCACGATCTTGAGAGCAAAGTCAATGCTTTGATGACGGCTCAAGAAGTGAAGAAAACGGGCATCCCATACCCGTACCCGAGGGATTAGGACCTGATTCCTTATCCCCAGAAATTTAATTTGATTAACTTTACTCCTTTTGATGGCAGGGGTTCACCAACTCAGCACTTGATCTATTTCAAGTCGCATCTCGGCGCAATATCTGGGAACGAAGCCCTGATGGTCCGGTCATTCGTAGGAACCCTTCGCGGGCCTGCCTTCGATTGGTACCGAGTCTTAGCATTAAGCCTAAGAGAAACTACTCGACAACTCATCATACTGAGGGGAATAGCATGGCTAGCCCGATTCAAACGGTAATCGGTAAAGGCATATCAAACCCGTTGATAGCTGAGGATTTGCTAAAAATCCTAAGAGAAATCGAAGGCACTTGCTTCGCCAACAATTTCTTCATTCAAAGTATTCCAGACCACACGCAAGCCAGTTTAGGTCTGAAAACTTTGAAGGGGGTCTTGTAGATGGTAAAAAATACCTCTATGGGTCTACAGGAAATTTGTCTACGAGAAGAGTTCGCACGTCCAGTTCTCTGGCACGGACCTAAACCGCGTAGACGTCGACTGTACTCAAGTCCAGGTTCGCCTAACGGTCGACTCGCCAGCATGAGTCAGGATCGATCAGGATGGCGGAAACTCGATCTTCGCTCAACTCGCCTGCCCGAGTTCGGAGTCGAATCCGCCAGCAAGCCCCAAAACCGTCAGTACAGCTGGGTATCCACTACCCCACGTGCTGAGATGGGCCTTCCCATCTCTCTCGACCCGAAGGGAGAGAGAGCACAGTACCCCAGGACCGTCAAACGGCCGCCCACAGTGCGCACAGCGCGAAGGAACTGGACAGGTATCGAGTCAACCTGAGCATTCATAAATGCGACTCACCTCGGCTGTCTGAGTCTGGAGCTGGATCCGCCGGCACTCGGCAAGCTGGCTAGACTCACTCGAGTACTGTACACCTACTTCACCGCCTCTCCTGACCGGAAAGGAGAAAGCGTCGTGCTCAAAGCACGCCGGGCGGTCACGCACAGTACTGGTGATCGGACAGACGCCTCATCGATCTGCGGACTCATAAATGCGGTTCATTAATGCTGGTCAAATCCACTCGGATAGTAGTCGTTTGTTGCCTCACATACAAGAATGGGCCTTCCCATCGTAGGTGACAGGACATAAAGCACAATCCCTGGAATGACCGATCATGGTTTCGAGGAACAGCTAGACGTCTCTGAAGAAGATGTGGTCACATCCCACAATTCAAGGAGGAGTCAAGTTGTCCTTCTCCCATTTAAAAGCCTCTTCCGGCACACTGGAGAGGAGGTCGCAAAACTTAGGAAAAAGAGTTGAGACCAAGCTCTCTGCACAACTTTCTTTGCATTGCAGCACTACTGCTTAGTTCCGAGCTCCGATCGCCGGCGAACTAAACAGACCCGAACTCTCTCAAGTTGAGCTTCTACTGCGAACTGAAGCTCTCCAGCAACCTCATTCGAACGGTCCAAGGGAAGCAGACTCGACACGAGCATCGAGCGAAGCATCCTGTAGCCACCTAAAAGTCCCCACACAAAACAAAGAGGGCCTTCCCTCTGCTTCTGTTGTAACTATTTGATCATTAGTTTGTAATAAGCCTTCTTATAAATACAAACGAAACTCCCTTTTTCGGGAAATCAAATAGAATACCTAATAAACAAATACAAACACTAGACAAACGAGGTTAGGGATTGTTTGTAAATCAACAAAAACAAGATTGGACCATAGACTCATAAACATAAGACCTAACAAGTGTCGCATGAGAATTTTTGGGATGTTCGCTTAACCAAGGATATTAAATGAAACATTTTGAAACGGTAGGGTATTAAAGTGAATGGTTTTACAACTGAGGGTAAATATTTGCAACATTGGGTAAGGAATAGAGCATTTAAGTTTAATTTGCCCTTATAGTTTCCTCTAATTTGCACTTGTATACCTTCACTTGTTTATGGAAGGCATTATTATATACTAAGGTTTTGGAATTTGCACTTTTAATGCTAATGTAAGAATTTTCACTCAAAAATTCCCCATCTACTAATTTTAGAGCTTTTTACAATAAGTGAGTACTTATTTGGGAACTAAAAACTCTATAGGATCATCTATTAAAGAAATATATAGTATCGAGGACATAAGAATAATATTTCACTTGTCTCATAATTAGTATTATAGTTTTGAGTACAAGAATAATTTGTGGTTTATACTTTATTAATTGTGTAAAGTCTCAGTTTGCATCAATGGTTTCTGGTTTATACCCAATCATTAAGATAATCAAAAAAGAAATCTCTTTAACTCGCACAATTTCTTTAACAAAATTTGGCATGTAGTGTACTCCAAAAGTCTTAAGATAAGGACTTTGTTCATCATTGTTGTTTTGCACATAAATATACCGTTATCATGCAGTTCATCCGTTATGTTAAAACTAATTAAGGTGGCAATTGAGATTACTTAAGTCAAATAATTAACATTATAAGTCAAAGAATTCAAATTGCAGAAATAGTCCTTTCCTTGCAAGGCAACAATGTTTCCATTGTCATTAAAAAAATATAATATAATCTGAATCCTGTTTATTCAAAATTAATGGATATATCTTACTTTATTTTATTTTATTGCAACAGTTGATTATTTATTTGACTATTGTTGTAATTTTCTTGAATGACAAATAAGAATGAACGCAACACATTAGGAATATGACAATATTAAAATTTAATGTGAATCATAATCATCCATTCAATAATTAACTGTAAAGATCAAAATAATGGAGCGATCAAAATAATGGTCGCTCCACTACTCTTGACGTCACAGAGTAATACATGATAAGTTTCTTGAATGACATTTATATATAGTGAAAAAAATGTACAATAATTTTGTCTAATAAAAATAGGTAGAGATAATATTCTGTTATTGTGTTTTCAGTCGTCAAATTGTGATCTCTTGTCAACAATAGATAGGTATTCTTTATTATGTCTAATTCAGTCAACTCGACACTT